TCACAAGCGGATCCCAAGCGCAGACGCCCACGTGCGCTGCCCACGGGCCTCCGTTGCAAGGGGGCGGCCCAGCCTCGCCTCCTCCACGGCATTTCCGTGCGAGCGCAGGGCGCGCTTGCTGTTTCCAACGTGGCACGGTCGAAGCAGCCAGGGCGGCGCGGCAGGAAGCGAGGGGAGGCGTTCTCCTGTCCTCAGCGGGGACAGGCCCAGCTGTTCCTGGGGGACGACTCGGTGCCTCCACCCCGTGTACTTATCTTCCGCCTCTGGGCCCCGGGCTCTCGGCCACCCTTCCCGCCCCGATCCGCAGCTCCGCGCACGGCTCCGTGCAACGACGGCCGGCGACTGGCGCGCTTCTTGCGCAGCTTGTGTTTGGTCTGGGTCCTCCACGGGCGGAAGATCAGTCTCAGGACGGAGTGTTTTCCTTCTGTGACACGTCTTGCAAAAGCGTGCACCCATTATTTGATTAGGGGAGCATAAAACAAACAAACGAGCAGCGACTGGGGACTGGGGTAGGTTTTTCCTTCCGTCCCTCGCTTCCAGTATCACTAAAAACAATTTCGCTCTGATTTAGCTTCCTTTCCGGATGCTAATTCTGTCTAAAGGCTTCTAGTCCTCGGCCCCGCTTCGGTTTACTGGAGGAAAGAAAGGTTTCGCTTCACGGCCGAATAGGCTTTGCTGGGTTTTGGCAGAGCGGAAAAGGAGCGTCTGCAAAGGGGTCACGTTTTAGATTTCAGACCAATGTTTCGCCCCATGAGGGGGAGGGGGTCCGTCTCTCATCGGATGCCCATCTCTTTTATGGACCAACCTTATATTTCTCTGTGTTTGACATAACTTCCTCGTACACAAGTCGGTGCATCCCAGACATATTTTCCAGAGATGAGACCACTGCAGTGGGACTTATTTCCTAGGAGAGAGTGCTGTTCATAATCATGGATCCCTTGTACATAGTTGAGAACTGGATGGTTCAATACTTAGTTTTTTAAATGCATTCAAACCATTTACATCTTACCGTTCTATTAAAATGCTCAAAGCAGTTCACTCCACAGCTTAAGAAATACACAGTGCATGTGGGATCTGCAATAAAATGTTGCAGTGCAGCTTGTTGTGGGTCAGAACTCCAGACATGCCATGCCATTCCCCGCCTCTTCCGTCATGTTTGCCTCAGTGGCCCATCAGCACGGTGCGGCCATACAGAACGATTTCCTCATTGTGGTGCTCGGCCACCCCAACCGATCCACCCCTGCAAGCTGTTTTTGTACTGCTAAAGCATCTCTTGTGTAGTTTTGCTACATATGGATCAACAAACAGTGTGAACATCAGGAACAGAGGGTATTCCTTTACTTTTCTATTGAGGAACTTTACAGCTAGTTGATCCCTACAATTTCACCTACTCAAGCTTGTATCTCTGCCTAGAATAGACTTGTTCACATAGACTTGTTCACATAGATTATCCAACACAGAATGACATCATCAGAGAGTTTTTTTAAAAAAATATGCACTTGAGTCTTACAGTGAGAGTCAACCTGTTCAAATACCTGATATTTCTGGATGCAGTTAAGAGATATATCTCTTATTAATAAGCACATGTGGCACGGAGTGTATGTAAAAGACAGCACACCCCTCCAAAATACAACTCAGTGCCATGCCTGGAGAAGTAGTTGGTGAAGTCATCCATTCTGACCCACCTTGAGTCAAACTGTATTTTCTTCCAGGCCAGTTAAAAAACTGCAAAAGCTTTGACCCATCAATCAATCACCACCACAATCTTCTTCAACAACATTTTTATCCCACCTGAAGCTCTCTGACTGGTTTATAAAATATTTAAACCTCTCTTTTGTAAATGCTGTTTGCAAATTTAAGGTTTTCAACAATTAAAATAAACATCATAGGAACACCAATACCTTGTTCCCTGGTTTAGACTAATGAGGAATAACAGAATATTGAATTCAAGAACCACAATCCAGTTCAGCTAGGATCTGAACCTGAGACCTGGACTTGAAGGACATTCCACTGATTTAAGTGACTGGAAATCAAACTGAAAGAATCACACTATTTTAGGAATCCAGCAGCCTCCAGCACAGCAGCCTCCATAACATGGATATATTTAACATCCAACATTGGCAAGTTGGTGTAATAAACTTAATCTAGGCTTCTTCTCAGTTTAATAACTTTTGACATTAATGGGATAGCTTTAAAAGGATTCTTGTATGTTTATGTGTACAATACATCTTGACACTTCTGAAGTCAGTGTGGCACCGTCCCTTTGCCAAGATTTTCAGGGCATCATTCATCATGTGTAATTATAGTGAACCACTTGAAACTATCAGAAAGTCAAGTGTTCTTGATTTGCCTGGATTGGAAGATGAGCGGCAATGAAAGTAACACTTCTACCTAAACGTTCCCTGGAGATCAGCAAACATATTCGGACAGTGGGTCATTTCATCTAACAGCAGCAATACAAAACTTGGAAAATTGAATGTCAGCTAGATTTTTTTCCATTTATTTGCTTGTTCTGAAGTAAGCATTGTTGAATTCTTCTTAATAAACATGGTGTGTGTGTGAGTGTGTGTGTGTGTAGAGAGAGTGCACACAGAGGCAGAAATTGGAGTGCAGTAACCAAAAAGAGATAATGAAATATATATTCCTCCATGTTTGTTTCTGAAATTTCACCTAAATTAATACCTCCATTTTGTTTTTCAATTCTGATATGCATGGAGGATTTTGCCTATGAGGATTAGATAAGTAGCGAAAATAAAGAAGAAGCTGAAGTTCTTGGATTGAGTTCTACAACATATGGAGCAACAGTAGACACACAGATCACAGAGAAAACAGATATGTGAAATTACAAGTGACTGGAACCATAACTCCTGTACCCTACCCCAAGCACCCAGTTTTAATTAGCATAGTTTAGATTGCACAGAGAATACTCTAAGGATATATACACATGATGCACGGGAACTGTAGATAATAATAAATGTTAGAAGATCCATCAAAATGAATTGCAATTAAGTCTAATGTATTTCATTGGATACTGTCATGATATTTAACTAACAATTTTGAAACAGGTATATTCATATGCACTTAAGAACGATCTATTTGGAAGCAATTTCCACTGGGGTCAAAAACACTTTCCAGCCATATCTCAACCACACATACACAGAGTTTTTAAATCACTCTGCCTAGCCTTGCTGTCATTATAGGTTTCGGAAGGAGATGTGACAGTCATACTTATCTACCATTTCCAGTTAAGCAGGTTGTTCATCATTTACAGTGATGATAAATGTCTATCAGATTTTTCTGTTGAGCCTCTTCCAAGCAGTTCTGAGCAACATACATGGTCCCTCCTTCTGTCTTCACACAAACTCTGTGAAATAGATTAGCGAGTGGCCTAAGGTTTTCCAGCAAGCATTGTGAGTGAATATTTGAATCCATGGCTGGGAGCCTTTTGGAGTACATAGTATCCCTGATATCAAAATTTGACATTGCCAGCACAATTCTTAAATCTCTTGAGATGGGAACACTTGAAAAATCTCTAATTTACTTCTAGAACCATTGCATGACTGATAAAGTCTTTCAAAGGGATTTATTTCCAAGCGGGTGTGTTTATGATTTTGGCCTTCATCTTCTTAAATCCAGGGATTGGGCAGATAAAACTGAAAGCTGAGACAATCTGTTTAGTTGCATTTCCATTTTAAAAGAATGAGTAATGACAAGACATATTACAATACAAATTGTAATTCAACACCAAGATCTGTGTACATGGCAGGATGATTGTCCAGATTTCTATATATAATAAACATGGTCATAAAATATCTCAGATGTACCTTCATTATCCATACTGCTGTGGTTTTCCCTGCAGTGGTTTCAGACAAAGAAAACCAGTTTCAATCCATATTAATCTGAAGACATTAATGAAAACAGGCAGTATGATAGGCACTGTACTGTGTCAGAAGATGTATAATATACTCCAAACACAGCTGAAACATATGAATATTTTTTTTATTGACCAAAGTCTTGGGTTCTCTTAGCTTCTTCATCTCTACAGTTGTTCTGGGTTGGTTAAAGCTCCAGCAGGCAGAATCAGATGGGGAAAGAAAAGTTTAGAATCAGACAATTGTTTCCTCAAATTCCAGCAACAATTTATACCAGCCCAAGCAAAACTTTGCTTCAAGTTAGGATGGTGTAAGTGCAATGAAGCAATGGACTGATATAATTAATAATGAACGGGGCAAGGAAAATGGTAGCAAGGCTGCAAAAAATAGATTTTTCACTGAAACAGAAAAGCAATAGACTAAGAAAAAAATCATTGCATAATGTTTAACAATTATACTTTAATTCTGAAAAGAAAAGCTGTTTTGGTGTGTGGGTGGGGGGTGTAGCAGAGGTAAGAAAACTGCCAGAGTACTACAGAATGATAAACATAATTTAGCATTAGAAAACAGTTCTTAATATCACGTTAAAATTCATTAATGATTATGCAGTCATTCAATCCTATAAGGGCAGGCAACTGTTTAGCTGAATTTGAAACATTTTTTTACACATAACATGTTTCTATCATTACTATGTTTGAAGAAAGTTGAACATTCCACATTTCATTTTTAACAGTTACATATACCAAACTACAAAGCAGGAAAGTAATGTCTCTAGATTTGGGCAAGCTGATTTTGAGTGTTGCCAGTTTTTGTGTGATTGAGATGTAGACTGAACAGTAAATGAGTTTAAATATAAGTACTTTACTTCAACTGTGGACCAGACCATCTCAGTCAAAGACTACTGCAAATTTGTAAATTATTATTGTATATATTCATCCAGATTTGTTCTTCTGGCATTGCAAATCACCTTTAAATAATTGCAGAAATGTTTTTGCTTTTAAATCATAATGCAAAAATACATTTTAGATAAAAATACTATTATTTCTGACATCAAACAAATAGTTTTGCTAAAAATGAGAAACTGGAAAATCATACACAGTGAAATAAAAAACAGCATACATGGTGCTAAGGAGTTCTGCATCTGTGAAATCTAAAAATCATGGCAATTCACAGGCCTGCTGAAAAGAAACAGCTCTCCATATGTTTTAAATGCTGAATGTCCAACTACTATTTCAAAGGTTTTGCTTTCTTTTTGCCACTTCCCCATCCAGCGCTGAGATGAACCGGATGGTCTCGAAATGATATCCGTTCTTTTTGTGAGGGGCCCAAACGTGATCTCTCAGGTGCAGGTGCATCCTTTTCTACACAGGCAGAAATTAGTATTAAAATTCTATTGCTCAAATCCATTCAACCCCTTTTAAATTTGATAGGAAAAGAGCAGTCTTTCAAGAGCCCCTCATTTCATTACTTAGTTCATAATTTAAAATGTTTCAGCAGAATATCTAAACCACACTTAAGTCATTAACTGATTAAATTACTTTGATTTCAGTGGTGATTTTAAAAATATTTAATATGCATGTGAGACAAACAAGCAGACACACACTTCTTTTGGCTAAATGCAGGTTACACTTTCATTAGCTGGAAAATTATACTAAGCACATTGACTGAAATGAGAGATGTGCAGAGTGACAATGGTGTGATCATCATGGAACACTCTTTCACATGGAAAATGAAAGAAACAACTTTTAAACACATAACGCATCCATAAATCACACTGTTACTATATTAACACTTACATGATACCACAGAAAAGTAACAACTTTTATAGTAATTTTGGTGGAACTCAGTTACAAGAAAGAACATTCAGAATCAGCCCCTAAGAATAACTTAAGCAAACTATAAAACTAGATATATGATTAAGGCAGCCGTTTCTATTGTGTCCAATTATTTCTTTGCAATTTACACAAAATATATATTTCATGCACACACAAATGACACTGAGAGAGCCTTTCCATAGCTGACATCTTCTAACCACATGAAGAAAATTCCAGATGATTTAAGGGTCCAACTGGTTACTATTTCAACTCCTCAGCCCAACATATGCCGGCCAAACTTCCACCCAATGACATACAGAAAGAGAAATGACATTTACTCCAAAGAATAAGACGAGGGAAGAGTTGACCTAGATATGTAGGTAATGCATTTTTGTTCAAATCTTAGGTCTTCAGAGGTAGCTATAACATCTAGTTGCAAATAGTACTCACAAAAGTAGGTAAGCACTGGAAAACAGCCACTCCATGAAACCACTGAAAAATGTTGGTAATGGCATGGAAATAATATCTGTCTGCACAGCAAGTCACTGCACACAAACAGCTTGTCACATGGTGCAAGCTGCCAAGCAGAGCAGTTAAAAGCAGCCCCTGTTTGGCAGCTCCAGGCTCTGAGTGTCCAGGCTCTTCAAATCTCTGCCTACAATGAAGATGTGTGGATAAATAACATACAGTACATTCTACACACAATGTGCCAGGGTGCATCCAGCGAGTTAATGGACCTCTCTCTGCTTTGGCTAGACTTGACATCAGAGTGCAGGGGAGGAAGGGACAGACCCACAGCTTATAACTCCCATCAACCCCAGCCATTTGCTGGAAATTTTAAATGCACTGCATAAAGCAGGATGGACACACTTCATACTGGGAAATTCCAGTAATTAGGGCAGCACTACAGTTTATATATTATTAAATTTATATTCTACCTTGTTCCCTCCAAGGAACTGAAGGCAGCTGACACAATCTTCCTTTCCACTTCTCTTAACAATAACTTAGGTTGCAGCTCTCTGTGGTGTATATGTAGGTTAGGCTGGGGGTCAGTGATTGTCCCAAATTCAGCTTCCCAGCCAAGTGGTAACCAGAATCCAGCTCTCCCAAGTTCCCACCCAACACTGTAACCATACTGGCTCTTTTTTGTTGCTAAGCACTGTCAGGAGACATGACTTGGAGCTGAGACTGCTGTACACTTTCTCTGATGATTGCTTTGCACCACCAGTTTTCCCACTGGGGCAGGAAAAGGGGTGGGTATTCCAGAATCATGCTGTATCAAGCAAAAGCTTGTCTGGAAGCTTGTAAGAAGAAAGGCAGCAACGAGTTTGGTTTTCAGGAAAAAAAGAGATGGATATGGAAAGGAATATGTACATCTTTCTACAGAGGCTGCTCTGTTCCAAATCACTCCCATTCCATTTCTGCAGTGACGAAGTGCACTGCTGGGACTTTTTCTTGCATTTGCATGTACCATGTGACAAAGCACTTGAACAACAGAAGGAATTGTAATATAGCTGAAGCCATGTTCTCTGCAGAGTTTACAGAGCCCAGTCCTAGACATTTGTAGTTAGAATTATCACACTAAATCCGATGGGATTTACTTATGTGCAATAAACAACATACGCATTCAGTTGCATTTTAAAAATAGTGATCACAGAAGTGGCAACCTGCAACAAAAGCAGGATAGCCTCAGCTTTCCCCGAGCTGGTGCTCTCCAAGCAGACAAGCTGGGCCAATTGTCAGGAATGCAATGGAAGGAACTTGTAATACAAAGCATTTGAAGGGCACCAGGTTGAGAAAAGCTGCCCTGGCAGGTATGATGCCATTCAAGTTCCAACCAGCCTGGAACAACAGGCTTGCAGTGCTTTGGGGGCTTGGGAAAAGATCATTTTCCTTTTCCGGTTCCTCCAAAGTGTGCTATATATTGCAAATGGTCTCAGGGTGAAGTCTGTCTTCAATATTATATTGCTAATATAATACTGCAGGTGTCCATGGTGAAATGTAGCATTGGTAGGCTGGGCAGGTTGTTTAACCCTTTGCCATGCATTCTGCTCAACTGTACTACTCATCTCCTCAGTATCAGATGCTCAAGCACACCAATTTCCCTTCTGTCTCTTCCTTTCTTTTCCTATCCACACCCATCACCTGCTGCACTCTATAGGGCAATGCCCTCTGCTTCAGACTTAATTGCTAGACTCACACATTAGGCCCTATTTTTGGTGCCCTTAGATAAGGAATACACCGCTTTGTCAGGCTGGAGGGTCAAACTCAGTGGAAGTGGGAGGAATGGCAGGGAAAGGAGCACATGTATATGTACATAAGCACACATTTGGGTTTGGGAAAGCTCAGGGTTGCCTGGTGTGGGGGAAGAAGGACTTAACCATCACATCATCCTGGTGATTCTGCGATGCAAGATAGCTGGGTGGGGGGGGGGGGGGTTGCTTTTGCATTCTAGCAGTGCTGCTCAAATCTCCTAAGGTGCAATGGGGAGAATTTGGGGTCACTGACTGAGGAGGAAGCTAATGCGTCCCCTCCCACTGAGCCCAACTAGGAGTTCTGCTTCACCACCACCATTAGAGTTATTGGTGGCTGTAAGGGGCACGGTAAGTGCATCTCTGCTTTAGACTGGGTGAGGTCTGCACACCAAAAAGCTTCTAGAAAAAATAAGATTCTTAGCACAAGCTATGACTGGGCAGCAATATTTGCCCCTAAAGCTAATTAGGGTTCACAATTAATTAAATGAATTTGTGTTCCTAATTCACATCTGCAGAAGACTGACTGTGAGCAGAGGCAGAAGCCTGCATACATGCCCTGCATCAATGTCTTCTGTGTGGCCACTGAAGGGAGGGGGACTCTTCTTTTATGCTTAGCATGATCCTGAAAGGTCATATGAAACATCTCAACTTCAGGCAATGAAAGGAGTTAATCTAGGTGAGTGGTAGGGAGACTTTTTTCAACTGAGGGCTACATTCTTTCAGGGAGAATTGGAAGTGAGAATTTGTGCTCTCACTTCCTATGGCATACTGGAGGTGAGAGCACAAAAGCCAAAAGTACTTTTGGACAGCCCTCATTTCTCTGCCATCTCTCTCTCACATCCATTCACTTTCTATTTTTCACACACACACACGTTTTATACACCATTGATCTATACACTTCCTGCTTTAGCACAAGAACACAACCCATTCATCTCTTCATCCATCCTCTCACTTCCCCACCATCCTTCCTATACCATCCAACTACTGTAGTGCAGGAATGTATCACCCTCTTCCAGGCTGGATGGCAAGAAATATCATTTCTCTTAAATCCCAGACCACAGGGTTTAAGAGAAATGATATAAATGAGGAAATCTGGAAGACGGGCCCCAGGTGTGACTTCAGAAGCCCAACCATAGAGTGTTGCAGCTTCAGCATACTTCCATGCTGCTCTAGCCACTGTGCTCCATGGTCAGGCTGCCAGTCTCTCTGCCTTTGTTATCTTGCTCTCTGGTGGCACCTGCTGCCTGAGAGACAGGGAACAACAGCAACTGGTTTGAGAAGGCAAAGGAGATTGAGGAAGAGTGGATGGGACAGGAAGAAGAGGCAGTGGTTTGGATCAAAAGGCTTACTGGACTGTATATAGCTTTAAAGCTGGAGAGCTTCCTCATCGCTTCACTAGAATTTTTTTTATCTAAGATTTTTCAGGTCTTGGATATTCATGGGGCCTCAAAGCTTACAGGGATGTTTTTTCTTTTAACCTGTTTCACTTAAAGCATGCAGACAGCAGTGACATTTTTTTTGAGTTACTTCCTTTTCCTAATAGGCAACTGAGCACCCAAATTAGCTATTAGAAAGAATGAGTAATGATGCATTAAATTAGGAAAACAGCTACTTTCTATATGCATACACACCACAGGGAGATGCAACCAAATGGAAGTTTTTGGATATGATTACCTCTATCATGTGCATATTTTACAACATGTGCTGCATTTTTAGTGTATACAAAATGGCTACTATAGAGTGGATATTACCTCAAGATATATACACCTATCGCCAAAATCATCCAAGGCCTATTACATGTGTTTGTTAGTACTGAATCAGAAGAAATGAGAAAGTGTGGGTGGTTCTGCAAAAGGAAGCCATTCAAGGATTTTAATACTTTGGCCCCAGTCCAATGAAATGTAGCCAGGGCTAAGTCTCACTGCAACTAACTAGTTGTACATTTAGTCTGATTGTTTTCAGCGATACTGACTGGGATGCAGGAGAGGCAAGATCTGTGATCAGGATCTGTGATCTCCTGCATTTGTTCATCAGCTTAAAACAGCCATAGGAGGGCCATGGGGTGCAGGGTTAACCCTTTCTTCCTGTGCCATTTTCCTAGTTTGAAAGTCTTGCTGAAAGTCAGCTGAAAGTCTTGTTTTCACCAATGTCAGTGGAAACAATTCGTGTGCTGCATCTACTGTATCATTAGGGGAAAAAGCACCTCTTGGTGCTACTGGGAACTTTTCCCCACAAGTAGAACTATAGTTCATGAGTGATGATTTTCTCTAGTGACAGAAGGGATAATCTTCC